TGAATTCACTTCTTCGTCTACATTGGCGAGACAGTGAGCCTGTCACAGTGTAGTAGAAGTCATCACAAATATTTTATCCTCGATTGACGACTGTTTTATTTTCTAGAAATTAAAATTGCTTACAAGAAAAGCCCAGTATGCATAATTTGATGGAGTAAATTTACCCAATTTAGCTTTGCGATCGGTTAGCGGTAACCCGCCGAATTTATTCTAGCGTTGAGTCTTTCGGTGATAAAAGTAAAGTCGTGCCGGAAAAAATCGGGCTAGAAGAAGTCAAGGAAGAAAATTAAGTTGCTCAAAATTCCCGGGCCCCAAGCCATTAGGCATAAATAGATTGCAACTTTTGAGCAACTTTTAGCGTTTTCAGCAACTTTTTGTATTGCGAGCAACTGTCAGCAACCTAGAGCAACTTTTGCCTTCCTTGGTAACTTTTAGGTCAACAAATGGTTAATAACTGACCAAACCATCAAAATGGTCTTTATCAAAGGTTTTTTTATTAACACTGGTCAAAACTAAGGATGTCGTAAGTTCTTACAAATTATAAAATAACACGTGCGCTAACAAACTGGACAGCAGCTATCTATCTAACAGGCTCTTACATCCAGCGGTTATTCGCTTCAACAATAGAGCTTCCCGCGCGTGTGAGACAACATGCGAAGCTGAAATGTCTGACGAGGAAAATGAAATTAATACAGATGTTGACCCTATTGAGGTCACTATAGCCGCTGGTAAAGGTAAAGTCTGTTTACGAGCCCAGTGGCCCATTAGGTGGGTGCTTAACTCCGGTTTCCACTCCCCCCTGGATGGGACGCCAGTCCATCGCAGGGTTACCCCCAGTATTAAATTGCCGGTACCCATTTAAACACCTGGGGAAAGAGAGGCATTGTGAGAGAAAAGTGTCTTGCCTAAGAACACAACACAATGTCCCGGCCGGGGCTTGAACTCGGACCACTCGATCCGGAGTCGAGCGCACCAACCATAAGACCACCGCGCCTCCGCTATAGCCGCTAGGGCAACTCTCAATAGAAGCAGAACCTTTATTGATTTATACCGCTTAGGGTAGCCCCTTCAGATTCAAAAAGCTGTCTGTTATCAATGGGAGCCCTGAACAATGTACCAAAAATTATAGTATACATATGCATTACGCTGATACTGATAATAGTATAGATAGAAAAATATGTACAAATAAAAGATTTAGGAGTAAATAAATACGAAACATCATCAACATAGTTCGTTAAAAAGAGTGCAGCCATAGTAATCGAAAGATCGTTTTGCGATCTCAGTCCGCAGCAGGCGGATGTAAAAGGTTGCTTTGTCTAGTGGCGCGTGCGTAGATTGTATTATTACGTTTAAAATATCCTTTAAATTATTGGAAACATTGACTTTGCAGGGATTTGTTAACAAGTTTAAAAACAGATTTACGAGGGCGCTCCTCCAGCGTGGGCCATTTCAAAACGTCCATTGCCGGGTTTCTGCGCACAGTTCTTGCGATTATTCTGGCAGCCAGGTTTTGGAGGGCTTCAAGGCCTTGTTTGTGACCTTCCCCGCAGCAAAATGATATATATAATATATATATATATATATAATAATAGTCCCGCAAGAGATTCAATTTCCAGAAAGCGCAAAATTCATGTCAATGAAGACATATACAAACAACGAGAAGCGATAGCTCGACCTTGTCCTCAGGGAAAGGAACTGAAACAACATGCGCTTGGGATCGCGTTAAAGACTATCCAAAACGTCATTAGAAAATACTTTCTATTATTACTTAGGTTGATATTATGTTGACCACAACAAATTACACATTTACACATACAACGTCATGTTTTGAGTAGTAATCTAGAACAAATGACTCTCAAAAATAAGAAACATTTGAAATTTGGGTGGCAACTTTTATTTTTGAGCACTTTAGTCAGAGCAACTTTTGGGTGTACTGTCAAGCAACTTTCCTGGATTTACTAACACAATCTATTCATGCCCAGAAGCCATGTTTTAAAATCAAAATTTAAAGGATAGGATAGGAGGTTCTGGCACACAAACCAGTCCTTTTTGTTCTTTAGCCCTTGGGGCCCGTTTATTGAAAGTTGCGTTAAGTTAATGGGCCCATAAGGCTGTTCCGTTTTCGTTCAAGATGGGGATTTCAAAAGTTTTGAAAACGATACAATAAAAAAATCAGCTAAAGAAATTAAGAAAGGACTTGTTTGAGTGCCAGAATCTGCTTTCCTATCATTTAAATTTTGATTTTAAAACATGGCTTCGGGCTTCGGGCAGTAAAGTTACCGGGACTTTCGAGAAACGGGCCCCAGTCCCCTGTTAAGGTAGACCTCTCAACAATAACAAAGAATCTGGAACGAGCCTTCTCATGACATCATCACTGCACTTCTGTCAGCAGTTCTTAGTTCATTCTGGTCGGTTTCATTCATCAAGACAGGGAATACACTTGGCAGTGCGATTGAAACTGTGAGGCCACCTCCTGAAGACATGGCAGATGGCGAAACACTGACGGCAACTTTTGCCATTCTCCTTTTTCACATTACCCAAAATACCTTGCGCTTTGGGGGGTAACTTTGGAGCCCTAGTTACAAGCAAAATGGCGGCTCCAACCAAACAAACGGATTTAAAGCTACCAAATTGTTATAAAGATGCTTCTAAATTCACGAAACCAAAGCTTAAGGAGGTTTGTAGAGCTCTCTCTGTAGATTTTGAGAAAAATATCGGGAAGAAAGCGCTCGTAAACATTGTTTGCAACGCTTTAAATCTGTCAACATCATCCACGACCGCTACAAAGACCGAGAATCAGTCAGCTTGCTGGACTTTACCAACCATAGCTTATCTACAGAAGCAAAAAGAATGGAAGAAAGACTTAACAGGCATACCAATGCTCATGGATGAGTCAATGGTCAAGTCATATTTAATTGGAGTTGGTTATGAAGAGCAAACTGTGCGAAAGTATAAGACACTTCGTGCATGGGAGCACAAGCAAGATGTACATTCTGTCAAGTAAGTCTGTGTTTTATGTTTGATTATAAAACATTGCAACTACACTTCAAGTAAGACATAATAGCATGTCTGAGAAAATAAACCCGTCTTCAAAGTTAAATTGCAACATTTTAGATAAGTTGAAACTTTGTCTTTATTCTGTCTCATTATAGTTTTGACCTTTCCTTTACTGTTTTGTGCTTTAGAGTTCATTTGCT